CTGAAAAGAGTAAAAATATGCTTTCTACAGTAATGATAACCTTATAGGATTAATCAAGCGATCGGAAAGAAATGATTGAGCGATCCGTTGGATAGCATAAGTATCATCCGGTAGATTCACTCATAAGTTAGAAACTAACGGACAAATTACATTGTAATATTGCTAAAATGATCATTTTTAATTTTCCGGATTATTTCCTACATCTTGAACCGGAAATATCAGAACTCGTCTATTTCTTCTACTATTACTTTGGGACAGTTAGAAAATTTAATCGAACTGCTGCATAATACTTCTTAGAATTGCCTTACAATTTCACTGGTCGAAGGACAAGTGGAAGTTAATTCAATTTTTAGATATATTTGTATCGGGGAGAGAGAGAAAGAGAGAGAGAGAGAGAAAGAAAGAAAGAGAGAATTGAAAGAAAGGAGAGAATAATCTTTTGGAATCTAGCTTATTCTACTCAAATCTAACGAAAGCATCTTGCTTTAGAAGCCTTTCTTACTTATTCAACTATGTTGCGTATTTGATCGAAATTTTATTGATAAAAATAAAAGCAGAAAGAGAAAGAGCGAGAGGAAGGAAGAGAGAGAAAAAAAGGATGAAAAGTTGCTTGAGGCGGAAAATGCTCAATTGTATAGGAGAGAATGAAGCGGAATCACAATTAATATGCATTCAACGAATGACGAGAATGCATGCAAGTATGGTGTATAGCTTTGTTCCACATCTTTTCAATCAGGTTACGGTAATAGCTAAGCTTAAGCAATAACTTCACTATTGAGCTTTGGCCTTATTTTAATTCATAGCTAATATTGTCATATTTTGTTGGACAAAAAATGAATTGCAATTATTTTCAACACAATATTAACTTTTTTTTCCCCCTTCAGTAATTACAGTATGAGTAACTTTGAAGAATGAAAACTTTATTGAAATCTAATACTTCAAATATGAAAGAAGTTACAAGATGAAAAGTTTAAAATTTTAACTTCAAAGAAATCCCGGCAAATTGTTCGGGTAATTTTTTCTTTTTTTATCGGTATTATGCCAGAAATATATAAAATGTTAAAAATGATTAATTTCATAAGGTATAATGTTTTTTTCCCAAAGAAAATAACTCAAAATGCATTGCATTAGTGTTTTCTCTTTCTCTCAAGACTTTTTAATTTTAATTAAATTATTATGTTCATATTTTTCCTGTTTTAGTTTAAAAGTTTTATAAATTATTTGAAAATAAAAAATTTAGAGAAGAAAAAAAGGAAAAAGAACGAAAAAAAATGGTAATGAAAGGAGAAAATTGCAATGAAATAAGCAAATAATTGAATTTATTGAATGCCAATAAGTTGATCAAGAGGATTGGGAATGAAAGATAGTCCCAAAGGGAAAAAAAAAAGGAAAATAATCAAAAAAGTTTTCTTTGCTTTTTTTTTATAATCTCTGAAATATTTATCATCCAATGTATATATATTAATTTATATGTTCAAAGGTAATATCAACATTTTAAGAATTACTTATTAAATAACGAATTAATCGTTTCTCTTTCTCGTCTTGCTTCTCTTTCAGTAATAACAAATGAATAAAAGAAAATGAATTTAGTATTTTAATAACATTTAAAAGGAAAAAAAAGCGAGAGAATTGGTTAAAATAATTTTGAAATTGTACTATCATTGAATGTATTCAATTACTATTTTAATTTATATTTGCTTTCAAATTACCATTGCACATTTATTTTCTTTATTAGAAAAATATTTTAGCAATTTATTTTCAATATCATTAGAATGACGATTCTGTCATATTGTTTTAGGGAACAAAAATATTTTTTTTTTTGTAAAATATGATATATATTTGAATTAAATAATGTATAAAATATAATATAAATGTAAATATTTTTGCATTACTTTTTAAATTTTACTCTAACACTAAACATCAAATTGTACTTTTATGAATAAAATATTTAATTTTTGTGAAAAATTTCAATTTGTGAATAGAAATAAAAATTGTTGAAAATTTTTAACTTTCATGAATATTTCTCCCTTATTTGGTGCAAGTTATTTGCGGTAAAAATGAATTGAGGAAGTAGTTAGAGTAGTCACTGAAGATGACTAAGTAATATTCAAATTTGATGTACAGATGGTGTAATGAGTGTGATGCTTGCCTGCCTGCCTGTAGTGTAACAAGGATAGAAAGACGGGATAGAACGGGAATGAATATGAGAAGAAGGACGGGGACAACGGGGTGAGAAAGGTTTTGAGATATCCTGCTGGGTATAAGTTCGCTTCATTGCTACAGCTAATTGCATGAAATAAGCTTACTGAAGAGCTGATAATTATGGGCTTGAAGTGGTACAGAATGTCAACCATCTCTGTCATCTGCAACCAAAACCGTATCTTTTCGTACCCTTTTCCTCTTCATTTCTTTGCCTATTTCTTTGATCCTCTTTTATTTTGAATGACCCCCCCCC